GTGCTTCCAGTCTTAATGACAAAGGCATTCTACTTTCACCCAGTGTGGAGATAAGAAAGAAAAAGACAACTCAGGTGTAGGATGGAAGATACCCGCCAAGTCTTCCCTCCGTATCTTACATATGTGGGTATAAAAGGGGGAACAAGGAAAAAGTCACAAAGAGTCGAGATAGGAAACTTTTTTTTTATTTCTTTCTAACTTTTGAGATAGATGTATCAAATATTGGATGGGGGCTTCACAACTGAGGAGAGGGAAAAACAAGCTATTTGACATCATGCAAGAAAGGAGGCAAAACTTGGTGGGAACATATTGGTTTTTTATCAATATTGGTGGTAGAAAACATTGATGATAAGATTTCAGTCAAATACTTTCTATAGGTCCATGCTTCAAATTCAACAAGGTGGTTTAGAGAATTCTTTGAGTATCACAAGATAGGTAAATCCTGTTCTCCATCTCTTCATTAACAAAGAGATTGGAGGTTATCACTTATTAAAAAAAAGGGTCTTCAGTAAGAAAAAAACTTGTTTTGAGGTTAGCGAGGTAAAAGTTGCTTCAAGTAATGGATGAGACTTGTGATGCCGTAGATGTAGCCGTCATCTATGGAGGTGGAGGGGAAGACATGGGCAAAGTCAATCATATGGATGGAACAGAGATGGGATAGGAAATACCGGTATTGGGTGCACCAAGTCTGGGGCTGGTCACACACGGGACAGGGTTCCATTGCTCCGCTTGAGTTGAGGCCATTCTGAATTTCCATGGCATTCTGGAGAACTGATTCATCATTTTCATAGAGGAAGAGCAGGGAACTCGCATAGAAACGGTAGAGGGACTGAGTACAGAACCAGGTTCTGATATCAGTTAGGTTGTGCAGGGCAAGGCTGATCATCACCGGTCTCAGAGCTCTGTGGGCCTCGCTCCTAGAATGGAAGTAGATACCCAGAGATGGTACCACTGTCTCATGGATGACCAGCTTCCCAAACTGCTTGTCCTGTACTTCCGTCTCTTTGGTAACTGGATTGTAGATCCTCATACCTAGAATCCTGAATCCAATGAGGCTCATGAGGCGGTATTTTCTGAGTTCATAGAACATCCTTTCCTTGCTGGCCTCTGGATCGTAACCCTTCTGTCCTACTTTGACATCGAGGATTGAAGGGAGCTTATACCGCTCTGACAAATCTTCAAGCCGGAGGTATTCCTGACCACCAAGAGGAGATTTCCAGGTACCACGGAACTCTGGTATAAAGGAACGGAGTATTTTTAAAGTGGCGTTATTGGAAGACGTAACTCTGCGATAAAATTCAACCTCCCTTTTACCACGAGCATCTTTCTTAACAACAGGTTTAAGGATATTCCCATCCTGGTGTTTGAGAAAGCCAGGCCAGGCGTAGGAATGACCAGCAACCTGGTGCTCTAACCTCCTGGTGAGAGGAGGAAGGAGCTCAGACATCTAGCTAGGGGAGGAACAAAAAGTTAGCACCTCTGGATGGCCTTGGATTCTTCCTCCAACGGTCCCGGGTAGCAGAAGACGCTAAAATCTTCAAAGTAGATCTCACCAGGCTCCAAGAGAAGAAGGGAAAACCTGAAAAAAACAACCACACGCATGCTGAAATCACCTACACTTTCTTACCAGAAAAACAAAACATAATTAACTGGATGAAAAGGTACAATTTGGATTATAGATTATAAACACAAGGTAACAAGACCAAATCTCCAATGATAAGGTACAATTTGGATTATAGATTATAAACACAAGGTAATAAGACCAAATCTCCAATGATAAGGTACAATTTGGATTAGAGATTAGAAACACAAGGTAATAAGACCAAATCTCCAATGATAAGGTACAATTTGGATTAGAGATTAGAAACACAAGGTAATAAGACCAAATCTCCAATGATAAGGTACAATTTGGATTATAGATTATAAACACAAGGTAATAAGACCAAATCTCCAATGATAAGGTACAATTTGGATTATAGATTATAAACACAAGGTAATAAGACCAAATCTCCAATGATAAGGTACAATTTGGATTAGAGATTATAAACACAAGGTAATAAGACCAAATCTCCAATGATAAGGTACAATTTGGATTATAGATTATAAACACAAGGTAATAAGACCAAATCTCCAATGATAAGGTACAATTTGGATTATAGATTATAAACACAAGGTAATAAGACCAAATCTCCAATGATAAGGTACAATTTAGATTATAGATTATAAACACAAGGTAATAAGACCAAATCTCCAATGATAAGGTACAATTTGGATTATAGATTATAAACACAAGGTAATAAGACCAAATCTCCAATGATAAGGTACAATTTGGATTATAGATTATAAACACAAGGTAATAAGACCAAATCTCCAATGATAAGGTACAATTTAGATTATAGATTATAAACACAAGGTAATAAGACCAAATCTCCAATGATAAGGTACAATTTGGATTATAGATTATAAACACAAGGTAATAAGACCAAATCTCCAATGATAAGGTACAATTTGGATTATAGATTATAAACACAAGGTAATAAGACCAAATCTCCAATGATAAGGTACAATTTGGATTATAGATTATAAACACAAGGTAATAAGACCAAATCTCCAATGATAAGGTACAATTTGGATTATAGATTATAAACACAAGGTAATAAGACCAAATCTCCAATGATAAGGTACAATTTGGATTATAGATTATAAACACAAGGTAATAAGACCAAATCTCCAATGATAAGGTACAATTTGGATTATAGATTATAAACACAAGGTAATAAGACCAAATCTCCAATGATAAGGTACAATTTAGATTATAGATTATAAATACAAGGTAACAAATCCAATTAGATAAAATAGTGGGTGACATTTCTGTAACAGCGTTGTTACCATCATCAGACAAAAGAATGAATGAGGAAAAAAAATGTTTTTTTTTTCCAAGTAATATTGCACCTAATTGCAGAACCAAAGTGTCCTTTAGGGAGAGGTGTCCTCTTACTGGAATGTTCCTAAATAGTAGGGGCAATTTTACAAATAAAAACTGTCCTTTGTAGAGAGGTGTCTTCTAGCGTGAGTGTCCTCTCATGGAGTATGTTCTACTGTATTGGTGATGGAAACTGTCCTATGTAGAGAGGTGTCTTCTAGCGCGAGTGTCCTCTCATGGAGTATGTTCTACTGTATTGATGATGGAAACTGTCCTTTGTAGAGAGGTGTCTTCTAGCGTGAGTGTCCTCTCATGGAGTATGTTCTACTGTATTGGTGATGGAAACTGTCCTTTATAGAGTGATGTCTTCTAGCGTGAGTGTCCTCTCATGGAGTATGTTCTACTGTATTGGTGATGGAAACTGTCCTTTGTAGAGAGGTGTCTTCTAGCGTGAGTGTCCTCTCATGGAGTATGTTCTACTGTATTGATGATGGAAACTGTCCTTTGTAGAGAGGTGTCTTCTAGCGTGAGTGTCCTCTCATGGAGTATGTTTTACTGTATTGGTGATGGAAACTGTCCTTTGTAGAGAGGTGTCTTCTAGCGTGAGTGTCCTCTCATGGAGTGTGTTCTACTGTATTGGTGATGGAAACTGTCCTTTGTAGAGAGGTGTCCTCTAGTGGGAGTGTCCTCTCATGGAGTATGTTCTACTGTATTGGTGATGGAAACTGTCCTTTGTAGAGAGGTGTCCTCTAGCGGGAGTGTCCTCTCATTGTTCTACTGTATTGTTAATGGAAACTATCCTTTGTAGTGAGGTGTCCTCTAGCGGGAATGTCCTCTCATGGAGTATGTTCTACTGTATTGGTGATGGAAACTGTCCTTTGTAGAGAGATGTCCTCTAGCATGAGTATCCTCTCATGGAGTATGTTCTACTGTATTGGTGATGGAAACTGTCCTTTGTAGAGAGGTGTCTTCTAGCGTGAGTGTCCTCTCATGGAGTATGTTCTACTGTATTGGTGATGGAAACTGTCCTTTGTAGAGAGGTGTCTTCTAGTGGGAGTGTCCTCTCATGGAGTATGTTCCACTGTATTTGTGATGAAAACTGCCCTTTGTAGAGAGATGTCCTCTAGCGGGAGTGTCCTCTCATGGAGTATATTCTACTGTATTGGTGATGGAAACTGTCCTTTGTAGAGAGATGTCCTCTAGCATGAGTGTCCTCTCATGGAGTATGTTCTACTGTATTGGTGATGGAAACGTCCTTTGTAGAGAGATGTCCTCTAGCATGAGTGTCCTCTCATGGAGTATGTTCTACTGTATTGGTGATGGAAACTGTCCTTTGTAGAGAGGTGTCTTCTAGTGTGAGTGTCCTCTCATGGAGTATGTTCTACTGTATTGGTGATGGAAACTGTCCTTTGTAGAGAGGTGTCTTCTAGCGTGAGTGTCCTCTCATGGAGTATGTTCCACTGTATTTGTGATGAAAACTGCCTTTTGTAGAGAGATGTCCTCTAGCGGGAGTGTCCTCTCATGGAGTATATTCTACTGTATTTGTGATGGAAACTGTCCTTTGTAGAGAGATGTCCTCTAGCATGAGTGTCCTCTCATGGAGTATGTTCTACTGTATTGGTGATGAAAACTGCCCTTTGTAGAGAGATGTCCTCTAGCGTGAGTGTCCTCTCATGGAGTATGTTCTACTGTATTGGTGATGGAAACGTCCTTTGTAGAGAGATGTCCTCTAGCATGAGTGTCCTCTCATGAAGTATGTTCTACTGTATTGGTGATGGAAACTGTCCTTTGTAGAGAGATGTCCTCTAGCGTGAGTGTCCTCTCATGGAGTATGTTCTACTGTATTGGTGATGGAAACTGTCCTTTGTAGAGAGATGTCTTCTAGCGTGAGTGTCCTCTCATGGAGTATGTTCTACTGTATTGGTGATGGAAACTGTCCTTTGTAGAGAGGTGTCTTCTAGCGTGAGTGTCCTCTCATGGAGTATGTTCTACTGTATTGGTGATGGAAACTGTCCTTTGTTGAGAGGTGTCTTCTAGTGGGAGTGTCCTCTCATGGAGTATGTACCACTGTATTTGTGATGAAAACTGCCCTTTGTAGAGAGATGTCCTCTAGCGGGAGTGTCCTCTCATGGAGTATATTCTACTGTATTGGTGATGGAAACTGTCCTTTGTAGAGAGATGTCCTCTAGCATGAGTGTCCTCTCATGGAGTATGTTCTACTGTATTGGTGATGGAAACGTCCTTTGTAGAGAGATGTCCTCTAGCATGAGTGTCCTCTCATGGAGTATGTTCTACTGTATTGGTGATGGAAACTGTCCTTTGTAGAGAGGTGTCTTCTAGCGTGAGTGTCCTCTCATGGAGTATGTTCCACTGTATTTGTGATGAAAACTGCCCTTTGTAGAGAGATGTCCTCTAGCGGGAGTGTCCTCTCATGGAGTATGTTCTACTGTATTGGTGATGGAAACTGTCCTTTGTAGAGAGATGTCCTCTAGCATGAGTGTCCTCTCATGGAGTATGTTCTACTGTATTGGTGATGAAAACTGCCCTTTGTAGAGAGATGTCCTCTAGCGGGAGTGTCCTCTCATGGAGTATATTCTACTGTATTGGTGATGGAAACTGTCCTTTGTAGAGAGATGTCCTCTAGCGTGAGTGTCCTCTCATGGAGTATGTTCTACTGTATTGGTGATGGAAACGTCCTTTGTAGAGAGATGTCCTCTAGCATGAGTGTCCTCTCATGAAGTATGTTCTACTGTATTGGTGATGGAAACTGTCCTTTGTAGAGAGATGTCCTCTAGCGTGAGTGTCCTCTCATGGAATATGTTCTACTGTATTGGTGATGGAAACTGTCCTTTGTAGAGAGATGTCTTCTAGCGTGAGTGTCCTCTCATGGAGTATGTTCTACTGTATTGGTGATGGAAACTGTCCTTTGTAGAGAGGTGTCTTCTAGCGCGAGTGTCCTCTCATGGAGTATGTTCTACTGTATTGGTGATGGAAACTGTCCTTTGTAGAGAGGTGTCCTCTAGCGGGAGTGTCCTCTCATGGAGTATGTTCTACTGTATTGGTGATGGAAACTGTCTTTTGTAGAGAGATGTCCTCTAGCATGAGTGTCCTCTCATGGAGTAGGTTCTACTGTATTGGTGATGGAAACTGTCCTTTGTAGAGAGATGTCCTCTAGCATGAGTGTCCTCTCATGGAGTATGTATATTATATTTGGATTTGGTCTTATTACCTTGTAGTTCCAATCTATAATCCAAATTTTACTTTATTACAACAGTAGAAGTTTATTTAATGTGTAAAAGAAACAATCACGCTTTAATGTTTTCATTTCCTATACATTTAACTGTGGAAAAAACATGTAAGAGCTTTAAAAATATATTTTATAGGCATTTAAACCATAAATTCAGTCTCCATGACTTTGTATAACTATACCATGGAATAATATATTTTAAAAAATCTTACAAGCATATACAGTAGGTGGTATGCATATATCTGTAGCTACAGATAGCAATGTACCCCACCAAATACAGTGGTACCTCGACATACGAGCGCCCCAACATACGAGTTTTTCGAGATACGAGCCGACGAGCAAGTGATTTTTGCTTTTAGTTACGAGCGAAATTCGAGATACGAGTTGGGTTGGTAGTAACACGCAGTCGCGCCATCACGCGCACACCCAGGAACTGACGACTGAGGAGATACAAGAGTTACAGTCACAGCAGCATACTGAGGTTATGCAAGTAATTGGTTTTGAGGAGTCAGAGGAGGAGGTTATTTCTACAAGTTAGATAAAGGAGATCTTAGGTATGTGGGAGAGAGTTTCACAGTTCGTGGAAAAAAAAAACAGAAAAAGTTGCAACAGGTCGTGCATCTGACCTTTTTAATGACACTTGCCTAACTCATTTCCAGAACATTCTGAGAGGGAGGAAGACACAAACCTCCTTGGACATGTTTTTTTCTAAACGGCCTACAGGTGAAAGCGAGAAAAATGTAGCGAAAAAGGCAAAGGCCAGTGAGGATATCTAATTTATTTCTTTACATTCTCTTTTTTGATTTTGTGCAATAAATATTTGATATTTATAAATACGTTTTTATTATTTAAAACCACGTAACAAAAATAACTGGGGTGACATTTTGGAGGTTGGAACGGATTAATGGTAGTTCAATTTTTTTGTATGGGGAAATTTGCTTCGAAATACGAGTAATTCAAGATACGAGCAAGGTTGCGGAACGAATTAACTCGTATGTCGAGGTACCACTGTATATCGATCTGCTAGCTTTTAGGTTTAATTAGTTTTGGTTGATTCAAAAATGGAATTCTTTTTGTCAGTATACCTAGTGCAGAATAATAAAACAGTAGTATTTTTTCAAATTTCCACAGAAATGTATTATCTCACTTACAGAAGTGTATATAAAAAGAGCGATTTTCTGTTTATTATTAATTTGTATTATACAAGTCACCTGAACGAGTTATCGGCTGCTATTAAATTGGTCTAAGTGTATTTTTGTGTATTTTATAAATAAATGGCTTTGAATTAGTCTAAGAATGTTGTGAATATATATTTTTGTTATTTCTATCGCGTTTATTGAGTGCAATCGGAGCCTCCGCCGTTAGGAATGTGTACTGTAAGTGTGATTAGTCATTGAAAATATTATTTAGGATCTTATAAATGTAAATAAACGATCAATGGCGCCTGTATGGACGTCTGTTCGTTTAGACCCAACTTTTGGGAAAATTTGGAAAAAGAGAAACTAATCAAAGCATTCAGTGTAAACCAACTATAAATAAAAGTATTTTGTGCCGCTAAAGAGGTACTGGTACTAGTTTGTTCAAGCTTGGTGTATAAACAAGGTTTAAAAGTAAAAATGTACTAACCTATCTTTACAGACAGTGTCAATAAATGCCATATTTACACAATAAAAAGTAAACCATTAATGATGTCATTCAAATATTTCAACGATGATAAGCTAATTATATTTTTTCACCGATAAAGAAAATAAAGAAAAACATGTCAATTTTATGGTACCAGACTATTTCAGTATAAGAATATTATAATTTTTTTAGAAGAAAAAAATAAATAATGGGGAAAAAATGTGCAAAAAATCAAACCATGAATAAAAAATTAATAAAAATATATAAAAAGCATTTGGAAACTAGGAGTTCAGAGGTCTTCGAAGGTATGGCTTAAAAATAAAAATAAAAATTCATATTTATGCTGGATTTTTAAGCATATTAAAATATGAAACAATTGAATGAAAGTTTAAAAATATAAAACATAACCACACTTATTCATTATAATCCTGTATTCTAAATTCAAATCAGTTCTCTTATACACAAGATTTCATATTGTTGTATATAGTTATAATCTGTGCTACAAAAGATCTGGCAACACAGTATGTAAACAACGCCGCATAATAAATATATAATTGTTCTAGCACGGCGGTATATTAATTGTCTATATACATAAAGGCTGTAACTATATTAAATATATATAAAGCTAAAGGTAAATGAACCCGTATAAAAGATACAACATGGTGGCAGCGGTGGGATTTTGAAAGATAAGTAAAATTTCAAATATCAATTAAGCCTAACACGTTGAAAAATGGCCTCGAGTACCGGGAATAGTTTGCAGCCATTTGTGCCTGGAACAAACCCATCAGAAGCATGGGGTAAATGGAAAAAGAGATTCCAAATGTTTTACATAGCCACAGAAATAGATAAAAAATCTATTCCAAGACAAAGGGCTATTCTACTCTATAATATTGGTGAGTTAGCCCTAGATATATACTCTACATTTAAAATACAAGAAACTGATGCCTCTCCGACTGTTCCGGATATACTTGAACTGTTTGATGGACACTTTAAACCATATAAAAACACAACCTATAAGAGGTACCAGTTTTTTACAACGGAACAAGGGGAGAATCAGAATTTTGATGACTATGTAACTGAATTGAAAAATAAAAGCATGGACTGCGAATTTGGAGAGCTTGCAGATTCCTTGGTCAGAGATAGAATTATAATTGGAATTAAAGACAAAGCTTTAAAAGAAAGGATGCTACAAGATCCTGATCTTTCTTTAGCTAAAGCCATAGACTTGGGAAGAGCTACTGAAACTTCTAGACAACAAGTAAAAAATATAACTAGAGAAGATGTTGATTTACATTCTATAAAATATAAAAAGCAATATAAAAAGAATTTCAAATATCCAGTTGGTAGAAAACCTAATGTATCTGAGGAACATCCTAATGCAAAGGTTTGCCAAAATTGTGGTTCCAGACATCCATATGGTAAATGTTTTGCATATGGTAAAATATGCAATTCATGTAAAAAACCAAACCATTTTGCTAAAATGTGTAGGAACAGAGTGCATATGTTGGAGGAAAGAGCGGAAGAGGAAGAAGAAATGTGTCTTCAATACCTATCCCTAGATAGCATTACTGGTCTAGAGTGGACTAAAATAATCTTGGTGGAGAATAATTCAGTTAATTTTAAATTAGACACAGGAGCACAGGTGAACATCCTGCCATTGGATACCATTAAAAATTGGCAAAATAAACCCTGCATATATCCAACTGGGATTGCGGTTTATTCATATACAGGAGAAAAAGTACCAATAAGGGGCAAATGCAAGGCTTCATGTACCTCTGGGAAAAAAATCTGAAATCCTTGAATTTCTAGTCGTGGATTTGCCAGCTCCACCAATTTTGGGATTGGCAGCGTGTAAAAAATTAGAGCTGATATTAAAAGTAGAGTCGTTGGAACAGGACCATACTAGGACAAAGATGGATGCTTCACCTACAAAGATAATAGAGTCCTACAGAGATGTCTTTGATGAGATCGGAACACTCCCTGGAGAGCATTCTGTGATCCTGAGAGAAAATGCACATCCAAGAATTCAGTTAGCTCGCCGAATTCCGTTTGCACTGAAAAAAACCAGTTGAGATGGAGCTAAAATCGATGGAGGAACAAAAGATCATCTCAAAGGTAGACCAACCAGCAGAGTGGGCACACCCGATGGTAATCATTAAGAAACCAAATGGAAAGGTTCGTATCTGTATGGACCCTAGAGAGCTAAATCCATGGATTAAAATGGAATATCGTCAACTTCCTGCCCCTGAAGGCATCATTGCTGATATCACAAAATCACCCATCTATACAGTACTTGATGCTAAGTCAGCCTTTTGGCAAATCAAGTTAGACGAAAAGTCATCTAGCCTTTTAACAATGGCTACACCTTATGGGTATTACAGATTCCATCGGTTACCTTTTGGTATTTGCAGCGCTCCAGAAGTTTTCTATAAAAAAATGCAAAGTATGTTTACAGGAATTGAAGGAGTAAAAGTATACATGGATGATATAATAATATACGGAAACTCCCTCACGGAGCACAATAGTAGACTGATTACGGTTTTGGAAATTGCTAGAAAAAATAATTTAAAGTTTGAATTCAATAAAATGCAACTGGCCCAAGAAAAAGTTAAGTTCATTGGACATGAGATATCCAAGAATGGCATCTCTGCAGATCCATCTAAATTAGAAGCAATACAAAAAATAAAAAGACCAATGGACAAGACATCTCTTCAAAGATTTTTGGGAACTGTGAACTATCTAGCTAAATTCATGCATAATCTGGCAGATAAAACTGTCTTGTTAAGACAACTCCTAAAAAAGAATACCCTGTGGACATGGAATGAGGCTATAGAAAAAGAATTCATTGAGCTGAAAAATTTGGTATCAAATCCTCCAGTTCTTGGCCTCTTTGACCCCCATCGGAAGGTAACACTTTCAGTGGACGCTAGTCAACATGGGCTTGGGGCTGTCTTGATGCAAGAGGGAAGACCCATCGCTTTTGCATCCGCATCCTTGAATAACACTCAGAAAAAATATGCCCAGATTGAAAAGGAGCTCTTAGCTCTCTGGTATGGATGCCAAAGATTTAACTATCATTTGTATGGAAGAAAGTTCACAGCCCAGACGGATCATAAACCCTTGTTGGCTATACTAAAAAAGCCACTAGAGGAATTATCTCCAAGACTTGAAAGACTGGTCTTGAAATTGATGCGATATGATTTTAATTTAGAATATGTACCAGGAAAAGTGATTCACACCGCAGACACTCTATCTAGAGATTCAATTTCAGAGGAAACCATCGACACCTCAGATCTGGATCTCCAGAACACCATTATGACTCTAAATCTGAAGGTGACCACTAAAAGATACCAGGAAATTCTCAGAGATATGGAGTCAGATGAAGAAATGATAAAATTAAGGGATCATATACTGAATGGGTGGCCTATTCATAAGAAAAGTGTGGACTATGCTGTTAAGCCCTACTGGCATTGTAAAGAAGAACTATATATATGGAAAGACCTGATTTGTAGAGGACAAAGACTTGTCATCCCTAAAGTCCAAAGGGAAAGCATCTTGCAAACACTACACATGTCTCATCAAGGGATCTCTGCTTGTAAAAACAGAGCACATGAAGCTATTTATTGGCCTGGACTGGATAGAGAAATAGAAGAGATGGTTTATAAGTGTAGAATTTGTCAAGAATCACAACCTTCGCAAAGGAAAGAACCACTTATACCTCACGAAATAGCAGACTACCCTTGGCAAAAAGTAGCTATTGATTTCTTCTATCTAGACCAATCTGTATTCATAATAATAGTAGACTACTACAGCAGCTTTCCTGAAGTCATCAAGGTAGCATCAACTTCAGCAAAAGAGATTCTACCAGTTTTGAAATCTACCTTCGCAAGACATGGGATTCCAGAGATCATCATCACTGATAATGGACCACCATTTACATCACAAGACTTTACTAATTTTACAAATGAATGGGACATAGAACATAAAACCTCTAGCCCAGGATACCCAAAATCAAACGGATTAGTGGAGAGGATGGTGCAAACAGTAAAGAAGCAACTTAAGAAATGCCGTCAAGACAACACTGATCCTTATATGTGTTTAATAGCCCTGAGAACAACTCCGTCAAATAATCTACCGTCCCCAGCTCAGATGCTAATGGGAAGAAACTTGAGAACCTTGATCCCAATGAAAACCACAAAGCTAAAACCTGCTTTCATTAGCACGGAAAACATTCTACAGCAGAAGAGGGAAAATCAATATAAGATGAAAGAATATTATGACCGAAATGCCAAAATACTTCCTAAAATGAGTTCTGGTGAACAGGTAAATGCCAAAACTAGCAATGCCTGGAGACCAGCTACCATCATTGGAGAAGCCAACCAGCCTCGATCATACATCATTCAGAACAACGAGGGCCGAATGTTAAAACGGAACAGAGTTCACCTACGGCCCAGAAGTTATCCTGTTGGACAGAGAAGGAGCAGCCAGTCATCGCCCCAATTGGATCCAGCCCCCTCGACATCATCGGAGTCCAGTGGTCAAAGTTATAATCTGTGCTACAAAAGATCTGGCAACACAGTATGTAAACAACGCCGCATAATAAATATATAATTGTTCTAGCACGGCGGTATATTAATTGTCTATATACATAAAGGCTGTAACTATATTAAATATATATAAAGCTAAAGGTAAATGAACCCGTATAAAAGATACAACACATATATATAAAACCAATATAGATTTCGATTTTTATGTCCTTTCCTTAAAAATTAAAACATCCCCTAAATGGAGACAAAGTTTATTAAAGAATATTGGTTAGGTTTAAAGACAGATTTTTTGAAAGAATGCCTGAACTATATATGCAAGGTGTTGAAAACAAATATGAAGGATTAATAGGTTCATGCTCAAATCTCTGTATTGAACAGTTTTGTTAGCTATTTTAAATTATTTTTGAATATTCCTGTTTTTAATTGGATGAGATTAATAGCAAGAGGAGATGGAATATATGAAGGTGTGATAGCAATGAAGCTGCGATAGTGAATTAACAGACAAAGACTCTAAGATGATAAGCTAGAAGGAAATTATCTGTCTGTAGGTGATGCAGGATTTCAGCTCAGAAATTACTTGAAGTTGATACTTGATTCTTTTAAGCGATTTTTAATGTCATAAAAAGAAAAAGATATCCAAAAAATTCAGATTTCTGTCTCAAAACTATCTGTTATAATCCAGCAATTATATAGATACACTTTAAATACAATCATGCAATTAAGCAATAGATATAAATTCACATCATGTACAATAGATATGATAGAAAATCAGCCATAAAACTTTACTTATGGTTCTAAATAGTAAAATGGAATGTGACTAGATATAAATAACACACATATATGTAATATTATCGTTTCGGGTTGATTGGATTGGGACTGTGATATATTAGCAAATTAGTTTAATATTTGTTTTGCACAGAGTTGATGATGATAATTGTGTGTATATGGATATATATAGTGTTTGTGTATATAGCAGTTAGTTGTTTTTTTAATATGGAATTGTGTTAACTTTGTTTGTTGTTAGCATTAAAAATATATACTATTTTCAAAGTCTTCTGGCTAGAAAACATTGCATTGGCGACGAGAATTTAAGAGTAAGTACCCAAGCGATAGTATAAGGTAATATGAATAATTTTGTTTAAAATTAAAGAAGAAATAAGTTATTGGAAATTTACATAAGAAAAATTGTTTCATGATGGCTCATTACCATTTTAAGGAATTTGAAGAAAAAAATGAAAATTTTTGCTCATTTATCGAGCGTTTGGAGCAGTTTCTAATTCTAGAAGAGGCAAATGAAGAAAAGAAAAGAGCCTATTTGTTGACTCTAATTGGCGGGAAGGCGTATGATACATTGAAAAATTTATGTAGCCCGAAGTTACCTAAAGAGTATAAATATGAAGAATTGATTGAGAAACTTGTTGAATATTTTTCCCCAAGGCGATCTATAATCGTAGAGAGATTTATGTTTTTTGGAAGAATACAAAAGGAAACGGAAAGTGTTTCAGAATATCTGGTGGAAATCAAGCGGCTAGCCTCAACTTGTGGATTTGGCGAATTTTTGAAGGAATCCTTAAGAGACAAATTGGTGTGCGGTTTGAGAAATGCAAAAATTCAGAGATGGATCTTGTCTGAAGGAGATGTGCCGTTGGCAAGAGTAGTTGAAATTGCGTTGTCGATGGAGGCAGCAGAAAAAAATACCAGAATATTCCATGTCAATGAGCCTGCAGATAGCGTGGACAAAATACGCGCAGAAGTCAGGAATAGATATGATAGAGAGCAAAAGAGAAAGTGCATACATTGCGGGAGGTTGCATAAAGACTTATGCAGATTTAGAGAGGCGACCTGTTTCAGATGCGGGAAAAGAGGTCACTTGGCAACCATCTGCAGGAGCCGTGAGGAACATACAAGCGAAAGACAGGTGAGCCGGTTTCTGAACCAGAGAAAGATTAATCAGATCAAGAATCAAGAGGAGGAGGAGGAAGAATCCGTTCAAAGAATGGTCTTCATGAGGACGTATGATTATAGAGTCAAGTATGCTACGAATGACCCTCCCTATGTGATTAAGGTGAGAGTAGAGGACACTTTGATGACTTTTGAAATCTATACGGGTAGCTGTCTGACTTTAATATCGGAGAAGGATTTCAAAAGATACCTCCCAGACGTGCAGGTAAGAGAAGCGGGAATAATTGTTAAGACCTATGACAGAACTGTGGTACCGATTCTGGGTGAAATAGATGTCAAGGTCGATTTTCGGGGAACGATCGCTAAGCTTTGAGCTGTCGTGGCGAGAGGAGAAAGGAAGGCCTTGTTGGGGAGAGAATGGATCAATGTTTTGAAATTTGGAAATTATTTTGTAAATCAGATGCCTTTGGAGGACACGTTGGCGGAATTATTGAGTGAACACCAGGTTGTGTTCGGGGGAGACAACAGATCCAATAAAGGGATTCACATTTGCAGTGAATATTCAGGATGTAAACCCTATATTTCATAAGGCCCGACCAGTTCCCTTTGCGATTAGAACGGCGGTAAACGAGGTACTAGAAAGAATGGTGGAGAAGGACTACTTGTATCAAGTACCAAGCAGCAAGTGGGCAACTCCAGTGGTGGTTGTGCCCAAGAAGAATAAAGAGTTTAGGATTTGCTGTGATTTCAAAGTAACTTTAAATAGGTTCTTGGATATTGCGGCCTATCCGCTACCTACTCAGCAGGACCTGTTTTCCGTCTTGGCTAGAGGGAAGTATTTCTCTAAACTAGATTTGAGCAATGCATACCTTCAATTAGAGGTAAACCCTAGCACCCAGCCACTCCTGACTATTAATACGCATAAGGGGCTTTTTAGGTTTAAAAGAATGCCTTTTAGATTGGCAAATGCCCCTAGTTTTTTTCAGTCAGTTATGGATAGAATATTGGCGGGAATTAATGGGGTTATTTGTTACATTGACGATGTACTCGTATCCACGGCGTCAGTGGAGGAACATATAGCGGTATTAAAACTATTTTGTTCGGTTGCAGAAGCACAACATAAAATTAAAAAGGGAAAAATGTGAATTTCTGCGAAGAGAAATACAGTATTTGGGACATCTCATCAAAGAAGATGGTATTCGGCCTTTAGATGACAAGATACAAGGGCTACAGAAAGCCAAAAGCCCGACAAATGTCTCCGAATTGAGATCTTTTCTGGGATTGGTGAACTATTATGGAAAGTTTATTCCGAATTTGCCAGAGATGTTGGAGCCACTTCACAAGCTGCTGAAATAGTTGTTGGAAGTGGACAGGGGAGTGTGAGGAGGCGATCTCGGAGTGTAAAAAAAGAATTACCTCCGAGAAAGTGTAGGTGCCATATGATGCCACGTTACCTTTATCTTTGGCCACGGACGCATCTCAGATTGGAGTGGGGGCGGTGCTGTCCCATGTTATCGAGGGCCAAGAGAAACCAATCATGTTTGCCTCACGAACACTTTCCGGGGCCAAACGTAATTATTCACAAATAGAAAGAGAAGCTCTCGCAATAATATATGGTGTGACCAAGTTCCACCAGTTTATCTATGGAAGACAATTTACCCTGATTACAGATCATAAACCCTTGGTGTCTATTTTGGGGCCGAGAGCAGGGATTCCCACTTTGTCTACTTCAAGATTGCAGAGATGGGGGCTGACTTTGGCGGCTTATACATATGAAATTAAGTTCCGAAGAACTCAAGATCATGGAAATGCAGACCTTCTCTCACGGTTGCCAGTAGAGAGTGACGAAAAACCGGTTTTGAATCAAACGTTCATATTATCATACGTGGAAGATTTGCCGGTTACAGCAGCAGAAATAGGTGTGGAAACTAAAAAAGATGAAGTATTGTCAGTGGTGAAGCGCTATACGCAGCAAGGCTGGCCTGAAAGAGTTGGGGAATACCTCAGACCCTACTTTCAGAGAAAGTTGGAGTTAACTATGGACGGGGAATGCTTATTGTGTGTGGGGAATGCGAGTGATCATCCCGTCTTCTCTTAGGAAAAATATGTTGAGTTGTCTACACGAGACCCATTCGGGGATGGGCAAAATGAAGGCGGTTGCTAGGTCGCATTTTTGGTGGCCGAATCTTGACAACCAGATTGAATGCATAGTAAATGGGTGTAAAAATTGCCAGCAAACTCAGACAGGCCCAAGTAAAGTAAACTGGAGACCGTGGGTGTGGGCAACCAGGCCCTGGCAACGGATCCATATGGATTTTGCATTTAAAGATGGAGTGAATTTGTTAATTGTGGTGGATAGCCACTCAAAACGGGTCGAGGCGATCCCGATGAGAGAGATAACCGCAAGAAAGACGGTTGAGCAGTTAAGAAGATTGTTTTCAGCGTATGGGTTACCAGAGGAAGTGGTGTCGGATAATGGCCCACAGTTTACAGGGGTAGAGATGAAGAGTTTTTTCGAAAGAAATGGAGTCAAGCAAATTCTGATTCCAGCATACCATCCACAGAGTAATGGTTTAGCGGAAAGAGCGGTTCAATTGATAAAGATGGCCTTGGAAAAAAATAAAAGGAAGTTTGAAGATACCATTCAAGATACACTGTCAAGAATTTTCCTCACGTATCGATGCACGCCGCATGAGACAACGGGAAAGACCCCATCAGAGCTGTTTATGGGACGGTCTCTGCGGACCAGACTGACATTAATACACCAGAGCCTGGACAATAGGGTGAGGGAACGACAGGCCAGGCAGATGAGGTATGATCGAGGAAGAGGCCAAGAGGAGTTCGAGGTGGATGATAAGGTGTGGTGTAAGAATTTTAGAGGTGTCGGATGGATCCCAGGAAGAATAGTGGGCAGAAAGGGGAGCAGAGTCTATACAGTTTTGATAAATGGACAGGTGAAGACCTACCACCGAGATCAGTTAAGGAGAAGATGGACTAGTGGTGAAGGTGGAGATGAGGCCAGAGAGAAAAGAGAGGAGGAAGATGACCCAAAATGGATGGCTCCTGAGAGTATGAACAGCCTGAGGGACAGAGAATCGTTTTCGTCGGAAACAGCTGGACTGCCGCAGGATCCAGTGTCCAGGGACCAAGGTGTGGAGATTGAAAGCAGCCCAAGGGAATCTGCGTGTTCCTCAGACAAAGAAGCCCGGACGGAGGAAAGGCCCCTGCCAAGAAGAAACCCTCCAAGGGATCGGAGACCTCCTGTACGATATCAAAGCATGTAGGGGGAAGATGGTGTGATATATTAGCAAATTAGTTCAATATTTGTTTTTATTTATTTGTTTTGCACAGAGTTGATGATGATAATTGTGTGTATATGGATATATATAGTGTTTGTGTATATAGCAGTTACTCGTTTTTTTAATATGGAATTGTGTTAACTTTGTTTGTTGTTAGCATTAAAAATATATACTATTTTCAAAGTCTTCTGGCTAAAAAACATTGCAGGGACCCTTTTTTGTTTGTTGATTGATGTAAGACCCTGTTGACTTACTGTAGGGTTGATGACTTGTGGTGATTGGTGGCGCAGTCGTTTGGCTGAAATGATAGGTTTTTCACAGGAGAAATAACGAGAGGGACACAGGATGGGGTTGAAATTAGGACCACGCGATTAAGGGAGAGAAGGTTTTTTTGACTAATGGAGTACTTGACTATTACATGCTCGGAGGAAAGAAGATGTTTTACCTTTGTGAGAAGGGCTTAAGCACGTCCTGCTTCTTGTGATGTCCAGCTCCCAACTGACTTACTTGAGTCCGAGATTTACCTCGTTAACTCTCTATTGCTCTCATTGGTTGAAATCGTCTACGTGGCGACTTTTGGTTGGATGTTAGCTATTCATGCTGAACTCTGATTGGATATTGGTACCTCCATTGTCTTTTTCATCATTACCATCCTCCAGGAAGAAGGTCTTTGAACCCAGTTTTATAGTTCCTGGGTAATAACCTTTGCTTCCTGGATAATGAAATCCTGATAATGGTTGTTCTCTCCAGTTCGCTAGGCCTAGCTTTTATTAAAACTTTTTGGATCATACATTGCATATATTGTGGTGGGGTTACATCTTGGTATATACAAATTATTACATATACATATAGAAAAGATAAGATATAGATTTTAAATATCAGATTGATTAGTTTTGAATTTCACCATTTTAGAAATAAAATTTCAAAGAGTGGTTACTAAAATATAACCTAGAATCATTCCCAGGGTCGAAAGGAATTTCATGAAAATTTGTGCAATATTTTCAAAAGTGGTTTAAAAATGTTTCAATTATATATTAACACATATAATATATATATATATTTTTTTTTTTTGAAATAAAAGAAATATTAATACATATAAATAGAGGTTCTAATGAGAAACTACATGGTGCTGAAATCATCTTCCCTTCCCAAGAATATCAGCCATTTCTTCTTCGCTCATACTGCACTGCTTTTCAAGGTGAATCTATAGCAATTCTCTGAGCAGCCCAACTCGCGTAGATAAATCCAACCAAAGAAAGAGTGGCCATTGCCTCGGAACTGTAGATCCACTTTAGCAGCTATCTACTCCTTTGGACCAATACAAACATCACTAGTAGCGAAAATAATAAAAGTTCTTAACAGAGCTCCTCACATTAGGTTGTGTTGGGTAGGTTTACACATTGGAGTCAATGGCAATGAACTAGTAGACAGGAGAGCAAAAATTGCCGCTACTTCTGTCCTACCATATGCATATTCCACCTTGTCTCAAACCCATGTTCGAAACCTAACTCCCAAGGCTGCTCTATCATCATGGACTGTATTATATTCCACTCCGAGCCATCTCCTTAAATTTCCATCAAAAATCCGCCATAGAGAGGTCAAAACCACCATCCTCACGAGCCATGGCCATGTACTGGCAGATATTGTACTTGTGCATCTCGAAACAGACCCTACCTGCATCCACTGTTCAGAAGAGCCATATACAGTTAATCATCTCCATTTCAGCTGTCCAGCTTTCCTAAGACATAGGATGCAAATAGCTATCCTGCTTGGACTGACCCACCTCAATTCTACATCTATGGCCAGCCTCTGGAACGTCCTGGACAACTGGTTTAACTCAGCAATCAAAACAGGGCGCGAAAAAAAAAGCGCTTATCACTAGTCCATACTAGTGAGCTGGACTTCCCGGGTAGTTGGCGTTCTGCGCTCTAGGATTATAAATACATCTCTGAGAGACCACATAAAATGTAGTTAAGCCTGTTTCTCCTTGAGGTGGTCTCTCATCAACGATTATGCCTTACGTGAGGGATTCTCTGAAGAACCCACTTCTGGGAGAGACCCATTAAACCATAATTAGTCTTTTAAGGAAGCCACTACTGTATCTAGTTTGACTCACTGTTCTACTTAAAGCATATTTTTTTAATCTTTGCAAATATTTCT